GCATGTGGTGCTGGGGGATTGAACCGCGGTCCCTGTGCTTTGCTAAGCTTGTTCTAAGTAGGTGCTTTAGACCACTGAGCCATCTCACCAGCCCCCTGTCTCAAAATTTTAAAACAAAACAAAATAAGTAACATGAGGAGAATGAATGGATGTCTGACTGGGGTCTTCCTTGTGTTGTCTCCCACAGTTACGCGAATGCACTGCTTTCCTTTAAACTAGAGGCCTCCGCCCAAGGGCAAGATAATTTAAGCTGGAATGAGATTCAGAATTGTATTGATATGATTAATGCTCAGATTCAAGAAGAAAATGACCGTAAGTATGAGCCACTTTCCTTTTTCTAGCTTAGTGGAAGAATAATGTATCTAGACAAAATAATTTTCTACATTAAAGTTGCAAGTTTTTGCTCATGGAAGCTTATGTGGATGCACTCCTCATTCGCTACATTTATATATAAACTTATGCCTGTCTAGCAACATATTATAAATGTTACAAGGCATACTCAAAAAAAACATAAAAGGATAGAAGAAAATTCATAAGCAGAATACCTAATTATTTTTTTTTATCTACAAAAGGCTATTCTAGATAACTTAGCTTTTTTAAGCCCATGACTTAATTTCAGCCTTTCTTTTGGGCCTCTTCCTGAAACTTGACATATTTTCTTGCTCTACAAATGAAGGACTTAGAATGCAACCTAGCTCAGTGATCATAAATCATGTTGATGTGCTGGGCTTCTAAACTTCTGACCAGGAAGCACGAAAAGGGAGCAAGCCCAAGAGGAGATGCCCTGAAGCAAGCTTTCTTGAATGTTCCCTTGATTCCTTGTCCTTTGCCTCTTGCTTATAAAAACAGAGTGGAGAAGGAGGGGCTGTGTGACTTCAGCAATCAATAGATTCACTGCTTTTCTGTAGCATGAATGTCCAAAATTCAAGCTTTAAATGGTCTTCTTCATCATAAAAAGCAAGCCAACACCCTCTTCTTTGGCTTCCAAGCTCTTGGACTTGTTAGCAACAGTGGATATGGAATTGCTAGCATCATTGACTTCCATCCATCTGTGCCTTGGGGATCAGCAGCTCACTTGCTATGAGCTTAATGACTGGTAGAGCCAGAGGAAACTTCTCTCCCGGCTTCCGGTGTCTTGTCCTAGTGTTGAGATAAGGTCTCAGGCTGAGTCTGCTAACATTGTGTCTAACTTTGGAAAATCATGTTGAAATAAAGCATCTGATTTTGTTAGTTAATTGCCTTTACATAGTTTGCTTGCTTTGATTTGCTATTTCCTGTGAGCACCATGCCAAAAATCAAGGTCCTCTTTGTTTTTTCATTTTTTGAACATCTTTTGACTCTGGGGTCCTACCATGAAATAAGATACAGGTACACTGCCCTAACCTAGTATGCACCAGAAGCACCATAGAGACAGTAATCCCTGCACACTTTCTTAATTTTGCTTTTTTCAAGTTTTATACACATCTGAATTTTCTCTTAGGCAACACAAAGTTTTCTGTTGATTTTCTGTGTTTCCTGCCAGAGAGGCATTTGAAACCTCTGCAGTGAGATGCAGCCCACTCAGCTCTCTGACTCTTGCCAGATGTTAATGCAGAGAGAAGCACTGAGTAGAGCAGATGTTTGGGGGAGTGAGCCCCTGCCTGGTGAATGCTGGCACAGAACAGCCCCTGGCCCTCTGCCCTGCTCTGGACCCCATCTCCACACCCTGTCTCCTGCTTCTGGGGTCTGGCATGATGGCTGATGCCCCCCACTTCTGACTTCAGTCGGCAAAGTGAAAAATCAATTTCCACTGCCTTCCTAGCTCTCTGCTTCCTTACCACCTGAGTCCAGGCCTGGCGTACCCTGGTCACCCGGGTGAAGGGGCAGAATTCTGTTCCCAGTGCTAAGGAGCCCTGGCTCCTTTGTCCTCCTGACCAAGATGGGGGTGCCACTGGCACATGTCAGGTAGATCCTTTGCTTTGCCAGAAAAAAACTGAGTGACATCTGTGCAACTTTAAAAGACAGCAGCCTTATGAGGATGTTATCTATACAAGTCTCTTGGCAGCTGAGATTTCAGCCCATCCAGGTATCTTCACTGCTGAGTTACTGTGCAGGGAACAGAGCACTGGGCCTCAATTGTGCCTCTTTTAAACATCTCGTTGCCAAGGACACAAGCAGCCATCAGGGTGGTTACCTCAGAGATGGACTCTTCTGTTCTAGGATTTGGGAACTTTAATAACAGAGTGTCAACTATACCTGTGTTTTGGCTTGATTTTATTTTTCCCTCTGTCTCAGTTACTTTTCTCTCATTGCTGGGACAAAATAACCAATATCTACAATTAAGGAAGTTCTTTTTTTTTTTTTTTTTCAGTACCAGGGATTGAACTCAGGACCCTGCTCTTGCCAGGCAAGTGCTTATTCTACTGAGCTATCTCCCCAGCCTTACAATTAAGTAAGGAAAGGTTTATTTAGCTCACAGTTAGTGGAGAGTTCAGTCTGTACTCAGCTGGCTCCAAGGCAGAGTGGCACATGGCAGAAGGCAGCAGTTTATGACAGTGGAAAACAGTAAAGAGCAAAGGGAGAGGCAGTGGCTGCAGCTTCTAGCAAGCCTCTCTCTCTCTCTTTCCTCCTCACATTGTAAGCAGATTACCCACCCCAGGGCGGGAATGACCCTCACACCCATAATCCCAGCATTGGATCATGAATTAATCACAAACTCTGAAAGTCGTGGCATGACTACATGAGGCTTGGGGGGCGGGCACCTAGATGCAGCCCATGGCACCTTCTTTTCAATTGAAGTATTTTTGTTTAAATTTCCTGAAATGCTAAGTTAGGTGTCACATGTGTAAGTAATTGCGTAAAAAGCTCACTTTTACAGAATGTGCTATCGTGGATCGATAGGATTTATATCCTGTAATAGTGGTCTAAAGGAGACACACTGAGAACTGCCTTGTGGCCTGTGACAGCCCGGTGTGCAGCTGAGGAAAACACAGCAGGAAGGTGGCCTCCCAAGAGGACCGCTACCTGCGTTTCCTTAGCCTTGTCTGCTCTTTGAATGTCTTACCTAAAAGCTCACTTTCCATAATGGAACACATAGGGGGCTGGAGAGATGGCTCAGTGGGATAAGTGCTCTCTGGTGAGTGCAACGGCCTGAGTTCAATCCCCAGTTCTGCCAAAAAAAAAAAAAAAAAAAAAGATGCTGGTACTAAGGTGCCATCTAAGCATAATGGAACACATAGGAGAACATTACTTTAGCTGTGTAGCCTAAACAAGGGAGTTTTCATATTTGAAATTTCACTTTTTATATTTGATAGGCACCATCCTTATAAGTTACTTCATCCACTGTCTTAAATATAGGAGTTCCCAGAGGATAACCACCTGAAATATGACAGGATTACACTCTGATTCAAAGAAGTAAGCGTCGAATCATGGGCTGAGGCTCAGCAGTCTTTGTTCATATGGCTTTGTTGTTGTTGTTGTTACTTGTACAAACACAGAATGTGAGGCAGATGTGCAGGAGTAGGGGCAGGAGAATTGGGCTGTCAGCTGCTGTGAGGTCATTTACTATGACCTCAGCTGTGTGGCCTCCTAGAGACACGCCCAGAGCTTGCGCAGGTGATTCCCACCACGTCAGCTGGAATGCACTCACTGCCAGGTGATCGGCTGTTGGGATGTGTGTACAGGGCTTAAGGACCACAGTCTGGAGTAACTTCCAGGAGCTTTAGCTTTTGCTTTGCCTATTATGGATAAGTATTTGCATTCTTAGCAAGGTGGTATTTATGGGGATTTCTTCTAATAATTAGCTCAATATCTTACCTTAATTTGAACATCAAGATATACTTTATAAAACTTAAAAATTTTCTTGGTTCATTGCTTGATAGTGGCTAGCTTCCTTACTAGCTGTTGCTGGTCAGCACTGAACCGTTCCCGCCTACCATGCCTGTGTGTGTAGGAATGGATGTGTGCAGATACAAATACACTGCCTTATTTTATGACTAAGTGCTAATTTACTTTTAATAATATGGGAGCGTGAGACATGGCTTCCAAGTCCACTGTTTTGAGGCTTCCATAAACTGTTCAGACTTCATAGCTTTGCTTCTATACCTTTTATTCTTGAGCATTATAGTTTATATTCTGAGGTCGTTGGATGTGTTAAAGATGGTAGAAATTAACCTACAAGATGTTCTTCCTCATCCTTCAGCTCATTTGTAAAATAGGGCTCCAGGTGATAGTTACCTGTTACATAAATAATGTGTGAAATTCTCTGTATTTGAACTTGAAAAGTGTCCCAAAATATGCCGCACTATGTTTATTTCTACAAAGCCTGCGTATATGTCCCAGCCATATGTGAGTACTTACACGTAATGTAATTAAAGCTTAAATTTGTCTCTTCAGGGACACTAACCACATGTTGTGTGCTCAGATGGTACCTGGGGCTGATGGTTGGGGTAGCACAGAAAGGGCTTTTCTGTCATTATACAGAGCTCTGTGAAACAGTACTAGGTGATACTGTGCAGTTCTTCACTCTGCTGCTTATCACTACTGCAGCGAACTGCTTGAGTGTGAACAGTGTTTGGGCACCATTTAGTAGTGCTAGAATAATCTGAAGAATAAAATAGAAGGAATAGCCAAACAGCTTTGTCCTTCTGTTTCCCTTTCTGAGCATCTCTCCCTTCCACTTTCCCAGCTCTGCTGTTTCGTGATTCCATCATCTAATATCTTGACAGGACTTTCATCATGTTTAAATGAGTGTACTCTGGAAATGGGGCCCCTTCTGCTGTCCATCTGAAAAATTGTTGAGCCTTATAGTTTAAGGTCACTTGGTGCGTTAAAGATAGTAGAAATTAAATGAGAAAAACTATGCCTCCCCTTTTAATGGTAGTTTTATTAAAATATAACTCATATATCCTAAAAAATTCATGCTTCTGCAGTCTAACTGGCCTTTTGTGTCTCTTCATTTTCAAGGTTCACCCTTTCTGTGTCATGTACCAATATACTTTATTTTCCATTCCAGTGTAGTCCAGCCTATGGCTTCACATTTGTTTTCTCTTTCATCATTTGGTGGAAATTTGATGTTTCTATTTTTTAACTATTATAAATAATGCTATAATAAAGGCCAGCCAAATAGCTCAGCAGATTAAAGCACCTGCAAGCAGGTGGTGGGGCTGGGGGTTCAATCCCTGGGCCTGCTGTGCTGGCCCCACCTCCGGGGCATGCTGAGATGGCAATTGAGATTAGGTGTGGTGGTGCGCACCTGTAATCCTAGCTCTTGGGAGGTGTAAGCAAGTGGATCAGTACAAGTCCCATCTAGTAGTGAGGCCCTGAACACTCCGTAGACCCTTCCTTAAAATACAAAAAAAAATTGCTACAATAAACATTTCTGTATATGTTTTTATGTGGACATGTATTTTCATCTGAGCATACAGTTAGAAGTATAGGGGGAACTACCCGCTTGGGCCCCCCCTCCTGTCTCTATCTTGGACAGGAGCTTTCTTTCTCTCAATAAATATATTCTGCTCATAAAAAAAAGAAGTAGAATTGCTGGGTTATGTGGTAATTCTGTGTTTAATATTTTAAGGACCTTTCTGTTTTCCAGAATGACCGAATCACCTTTCCTTCCCACCAGCAGTGTAGGATGGATTCAATTTCTCCATGTTCTTGTCAGCACTTGTAACTGTCTTTTCTATTATAACCCTCCCTCCTAGTGGGTACAAAGTGAACTTACATTTTCATAAAGACTGATGATGTGAAACATCTTTTCATGTGCTCATTAGCCATTTGTGTATCTTCTTTAAAAAATATCTGCTTAAATTCTTTTTTTTTATTTTTCAAAATTTTATTTTTTTATTTTGAAGAGTAAAAACAAAAGCAAGAACAAAAAATATAAACAAAGACAGAAGCAAGGCAACATACAACAATACATATGTTACAGATTTTCAAAACAAGAACAGCTGACCAACAATGGTTGATATATTACTCATTTTTATAGTTAAATCTGCTGCTCATATCAGCAGATCCAGTTATGTACGATTGGACATATGATTGAATATTACCGCTTGCCTTCAAGAAACCTTAAATTTTGTTCTTGTCTCTTTTTACCTTTTTAAAAACCTTGTTTTAAAGAGAGTGTAGTAATAATTGATACAACATTAGAAATGGTACATATTTAGAAGACCAAGATGACATTCAAGCTTGGTTTTCTTTTTTTTACGTACAAATCTCTTTTTTTTTAAGTCAACAGAAAATGGAAATATACTTTTAAAGTTTCTAATACTAGGAGAAGATATCATACAATGTCTTTTAAATAAATTGTAAGTCAAAGATACAGTATAAATCTTAGAACAAAAATTAAGATTAAGCAATATTCAGAAAATTAAATGTTT